CAGGTCTCCCAAGCTGCGTCACCCTGGGCAAGTCACGTGACTTCTCTGTGACTTAGTCTCCCTCTGTACGGGGAGGCTCCTGCCCATCCTCCCGGGTTGTGGGGAGAGCGAAATGGCATCACCTGCAGGAAGTGCTCCCCGCCACCGCCCCACCCCCCCAGAGCCTGGCCCTGTGAGCGCTCGTTAAATGTCAGCTATTACTGGCATCACTGCCGTTCGTGTCTGGACTTGGTTGTGCGTGGCTGCTTCACGGCCAGGGACGAGCTCTCGCCCACGCGGCATTTGAACACGAGTCATAATGAAGCATAACTAACGGATGCCGCAGACAGAGGCAGAGGACCCTAGGCCCACAGACCCTCGGAGGGAGGGGCCTGAGAATGTCCGACGGTGGCACGCTCCCAGGCGAAGCTGGGCAACCTGGTTTTAATAGAAAGACATTGGAGTTCGGCTGCCCAGGGTTCAAATCCAGGCTCTGCTGCTGACTGACCAGCTGATCTTAGGCCAATTATGTAACCTCTCTCTGCCTCGGTTTCCCCACCTGTTAGGAACCTGTCCAGCACTACTCTGGCACCCAGCAGGAGTCAGCAAAGGGCAGATACTCCCTGCCCCTTCTCTAGCTCTCTAACTGGTGACTGTCGTCTTCCATATAAAGCCTGTCTCCTGGTCCCAGTGTTTCCCTTGGATTCGTCCTTTTTCTCAGTCCCCACTGGTCTAGGGGCGGGATATGAGTCACCCTCTGGCACCTCACAGGTTCCCCCAACTCTCCCGCCCGCTGCCCCGGTGAGTCCTTCAAACGGCGGCCACGACAGAGCCCACACCGTGGTTGGCAGTGTTGAAAGCATTTTCCTCACTGATTCTTCCCCTCATCCTGCACCCTCATCGCCCTGATCCCCTTCAACCGGAAGAGCCCCTAAGAAATGTCACCGGTCCCGCCGATGTCGCTGCGGCTGCGGTCCATAGCCTTTCGACCTGAACCGCTCGTGTTCTGAGCTCCTTGCAAACCTCAGGCCACCCAAAGTCAAGTTCAACGTTCCTCCCCACCAGAAACATGCCTCCGCGCCCCACGCCTCGGGACTCCCCCCCATTCCGCCCGCTCCCTCTGGCCACCCAGGGTACGGGGCCCAGGTACCGGCGGGAAGAAGTGGCAAAGTTTCCAGATTTCATTTGTAATTCTCTGCAGATGAGATGTCAGAAATATTGGAAAGACAGAGCCGTAAATCTGATCCTAATATAGCATAGAGCTTATTAACGAAGAATAAATCACCCGGGGGACCCTCCCTGGAGTGTTCCGCCGGGGCCCGCGGGAGGGGGGCGGATGGCATATTTATGTGCGAGTGGGTCGGGTCTTTACTCTCTCAGATATACGGCCGAGGCTGATTCGTCAGGGCAGTAGCCTTAACATCAGCCAATTATACTTTTTTTCTAGTGAAATTAATCTATTCTATAGAAATCTCCTAAGCATTTATTGGATTAGGCCCACATCCAAATGTAGAAAATCACACACACGCACACACACACCACTGTGGGACTCTGTCAGGCTGGGAATTAGAGCAGGGCTACCCCCTCCCCCTCCCCCCGGCTGCCCCAGACTAAGAAATTCAGGCGCAAGGGGCTGGAGGGGCCGACCTTCACTGCCCAGGTGGGTAAACCGAGGCCCAGAAAGGCGACACCCTCACAGTCACGGAGACGGCTGTGGTTGGTGTGAGACAGGACCCCCCGGGCCCCTTTTCCCGACCCCCAGAGATGTCCACATCCCGGTCCCCCGATCGCCCTAGTGTGACTCTGTTGCCTTACCCGGCAAAAGAGACTTCCCAGTGTGATGGCCCGAGGGATACCAAGACGGGGAGATTATCCTCGATGGGCCCAACACAGTCAGAAGGGTCCTTAAGAAGGAAAAGGGGAGGGAGGCCCGAGGGACATGGGGCCCTGAGCCGGGGACTCTGGAGGCTTCTAGAAGCTGGCAGGGCTGGGGGAGGGGAGCAAGGAGACATACCCTCCCTCAGAGCCTCCAGGAGGAAGGCAGCCCGCTGACCCCTTGACGTGGGGCCGCTGTCCTTCAAACTGGAAGATGCTTGTGCCCCTCGAAGACGCTGACCTGAGGTTTGTCCCAGCAGCAACAGGAAAGTGACAGAGTGTTAGAGACAAGCTTCGTCACCGCCAACGGCACTGCCTGCGTCTGCAAACTGTGGGAGAGGGGCCCCTACCCTGGGTCACCCCGGGTCACCCCTGGCGCCCAGGGTCTCCTCCTGTCCCGAGGCCACGGGCCCGCGTCTCCCACCTGCTCTTCCCTCACGGGCGCTGGCGGCAGCAGGGTGCCCGCCCAGTGCTGGTCCCCTCCTCTGCGGCTTTCCCGCACCTGACCCACCCCGGCCTGGGGAGGGGCAGCCGCTCCCCTCGCCAGGGTTACCACCACTGCGCCCTCCCCTCTTCCACCCGCTCCCCTCGAGGATTTCCTTACCCCTGAGGAGCTGAGGAGACCGTGACCTTGTCCGAGGCATTTCCCCTGCAGCCGCCCCTGTTCTCAGCCGCCATCCCCACCGGCCCTCATGGCCAGGAACCGAGGAGGGAGCCACCCCTTCTCTAGGCCTCGTCGGGGGCCTGCTCTGGTCTGGGTTCCTCTCTCCGTCCCTGTCCCTGGTGCCTCTGGACAGGACAGACATGCGGCTCAGAAAGCTCCCGGGAGGGCGGCGGGGGATGGGGGGGCACCTGGGAAGCAGACCCGGCTGGCGGCTGGGAGGAGGGAGGGTGGAAAGTTGTGAAAAAGAGGCCACCAGAAACGGCCGCCTAGCCTGGCTGGCGGCTTATTAAAGGGGCATATTCCCAATACCCCATACCTGCCCCCTGGCCGGGGCCGAGTCCTGAGGGTGGGCTCAGGAACGTGCGGTCGGACCCGCACCCCGGGGTGCGCCCGACTGCACGGAGATCACGGAGCGGGAGGGCTGGGAGGCCAGCACTCCTGGCTGGGCCCCCCGAGGCCAGCTGGGAGTCGTTTAACCTCTCCCAGCTGCAGCGTGTCTCCCATAAAGGGGGGGGGGCTGATCCACACGTGACCAATCACGAGGGTTAGTGTAAAGACCTAAAGCACAGAGGCAGAGGCTGTGGGCGCTCTGGCCGTGTCCCCTGGGGCCCGTCACCTCGGAGCCCAAAATATCTAATTTCTGACTGTCCGAGGGCCAGAGAGCCAGTGCCCCGCCCCACCACTCAGCAGGCTCCCCAACGACAGGACCGGGTTGGTGCTTTAACACCCAGGCCCCCTCACCCTCCGGGCAGGGCCACTCGGAGGTGTGGCTCCCACACCCTCCCCCCCTCGACACCCACCCCCAGTCCCCAGCAGGTACAAGCCCCAGGGGTCCACGCCCCAGGGGTAACACCCTTTGCAAACGGCCTTCCCTGCCCCGCTTCCCCCTCTCCCCCGGGAGTTTGGGTGAGCCACTCAGACGGACAGCTGGCCCTTGCGTCCTTGTCTCAGGTCAGCTCCCCGGAGACCCCAGGCTAAGGTTAAGCCCCAGTACAGGTTCCTGCGGCCAAGAAGCCAAGAAGCGAGTCCTCTTTGGCTGTCAGTGCGGCACCTGAGTCAGCCCAGCCCTGGCAACGTCGCCGCAGGTCCCTGGGCAGTGCCGCGGCCTGGAGCGGGGCGGGCAGTCCCTGCCGTCCAGGGACCAGTGAGGAGGAGGCCGGGTCCCACCTGGCCGGAAGAGGGAAGGCACCTCACCCTCTCCTTCCCTGGATCCCCCCATATCCGCGAGCTGGGAGCAGGGACTACATTCCCACCTCCAAGCACTCATCTCCCTGGGGCCCGGGTCCCCCAAATCTGGAATCGCCCCTACCCACCACAGTCTCCAACCCTATCCCTGTGAACTGGTTCTCCCATGCTCCCTGGAGACACCTCACAGCTACATCTGGAAGCTGCCAAGCCAAGCCCCCCACAGCCCTGGGCCCCTGCCACATGCATTCTAGCCCCCAGGGACACTGAAGTCACCTCCCAGAGAAATCCCTATGATTTCATCTTCTACTTAATCTTTATTCCTCCTCGCACTTTTTCAGAACTTCACATAATTTCTCATTTGTAGCAACTAGGAAGCCATAAATCGCCCCTTTATGTCTGAGGAAAATCAATTGTTATTTGACACTTTACCTTAATATTCCTGACTTCCTTCAACTGTAATAAAGCTTCCATCTGCCTTTTATTTTACAGGCAATTAGTAAGTCACCTTTTAAAAAATTTTCCACATTTTCTATCAAACGAACGCCAGGATCGAAAGGGGAGAGCTGTTTTATGGGATTGAACTCACCCAGTGGAAGGGGCTTATCTGTAGCCTCCGCCGTACCAACACTCATTACTGGGTTTTATTGATTCGGGGGCTTTTTAACCCTTAGCAATAATACAGGTGTCCCCAGCCGCCGGCGGCGGCACTCGGGAGGGGGCGGGGACGCGGGGAGGGGCAGGGAGATGCTCCGCGCTCCGGGCTGGGAAGGCAGAGAAAGGGGTTCTAACCCTTTGAAATGTGATCGCTCCGGGCCCAGCCACATTCCCGGGGGCTAAATCACAGCCCAGACGCCCTCTTTTTTCCTCCTTTGGGTTTTCCCCCTCAAATTACCCAGGGGAATGTGACACGATTGCCCTCCCCCGCCCCGCTGGGATCAAAAGAAAGAGGACTGTCCGTGGGGGTCCAAGGAGCTGGCTGTGTGGCTCCTGGCTCTGCCCCTTGGGGCCCAGGGACCTCGGCCGGCCGGGGAGGTGAGGGCACCTCCGAGGCTCGGTTTCCCAGCTGCAAAGTGGAGAGAAGAATCTCCCTCCATCCCCCTCACAGGGCTGCTGGGGTCTGCCCACTGGACCCCAATTGTAAAGAATGCTTGGAAGACCGTCTTTCAAAAAAAGATTTTATTTTACTTGTTTTTAGAGAGAGGGGAAGGCAAGGAGAAAGAGAGGGAGAGAAACATCGACATGTGAGAGGAGCATCAGTTGGCTGCCTCTTGCACGTCCGGGGGGGCGGGGGGAGGAGACGTGGCTGCAACCCAGGCACGTGTGGAATCGAACCAGAGACCTTTAGCCTTGAGGGACGACACCCAACCAACCAAGCCACGCTGGCCAGGGCTGGAAGACCATGTTAAGAAACCACTTGGCGAACTTATAACACTATGGTTGTGAGGAGGAATCTCAGTCCACAAACTCCAGGATGACATCGCCCTGGTTTTTCTAGAATGCACCCTAACCTGTCCTGACCTCCATGCCACAGAACCACTGGCACTTTGTCCCCAGCGTTTCCCCGGTAGCCTCCCCCACCTCACCCACCATGCCCCTTCCTGCAGGCCTCCGTCTGACCCCAAAGCCTGGGGGACCTTTCTCGGTCCAGACAGGAGGGCTGGACGCGTTAGAGCGGTCAGCAAGAGATGAGAGTCCAGGAGCTGAGCACAGAGTCCAAGGTGAACACAAGACAAGGCGGCAAAAGCTTGCCCACGGACCTGCAGTGAAGCAAATGCAGGGAATATTCTTGGTAGAAAAGCATTTCTTGGTAGGAAATGTTCTGGGTGGCAGGTGCACAGTGCCTACAATTCTTTCCACGTTGCTATAAGCTGAAGTCTTCCATTAAAATGCTGGAGGGGGCAAAGATTCAGTCCGGGGCAAATTTCCTGGGCGGAGGGCCGGCCCGTGGCGGGAGAAGGGAACTGGCGTGATCAGGCGAGGAGGAAGGCAGGGGGCCTTCTGCCTCCGGAGGCATCTGGTAACGGGAACTGCTACATTGTTTGTGGGCCCAGTGCAAAATGAAAACGCAGGGTCCTTCTTCGTACGTTGTCAAGAATATCAAGACGGCAACAGCAGGCAGCGGCCTCTTCAACTAAGTGCCAGGGCCTTCCAAGGCGAGGCCCTGTGTCCCTGCACAGGTCGCCCACCCACAAGGCCAGCCCTCTCTGTGTGGATGAGAGGTCTGTTTTGACCAGTCCCTTCCCACCCACCTCTCCATGTCTGATCTAAACAAAACCAAACACCTCTCACCCTAGCACCCGATGCAAGTGAACACTAAGGTGGGTGGGTCGGGGCCTTTTCTAAAACTGACAAGCCAGAGAATGCTCGGGCAGCCCTCACCACGCGGTAGCTACCAGTTCAGCACCAGATGCTGTGTTAACTCATTTAATGCTCCCGACAGTCCTCGGAGGTAGGACTGCTGTGATTCCCACTTCACAGATGAGGAAACTGAGGCAAAGACAGGGCAAGTCTCGCCCAAGTTCTCAGAGCTGGTGAGTGGTAGAGACGGGCGCTGGTCCCGAGCAGCCTGGATCTGGGGCCGTGCCTCTAACCACTGCGCTCTGCTGCCGCTCTGAAAAGAAAGCTGGGAAGAGCGGACATTGACAGCCCCGCCCCCCTCCCGGCTGGAAACACGTTTGCTTGTCCCCAGAGGACAGTCTTCTCAGAGTTTCTAGCTCAGAGCTTCTCGGCTACTATGTCAACACACATCACCTTGAAGTATGTCGTAGTTATCACAGTCCTAGTTTTAAAGTAGCAAGGCCTGTGAATGATGGGACTTTTTAAAAAAATTAGGGCCAATTTAAGGAGTGTCCCTCCCACTAATTTGCCTCGCAACTGGCCTTCCGGACGGCAGGAGAAAGCGCTGCAGAAGCAGCCAGCGCCAGAGCTGTGCACGGTCCTGACGCAGATTCTCGGGGCAGTGGGACACCGACGAACATCTTCACAAGGCGTGGCAGGGCCGGAGAAGCAAGAACTGCCACTCTAACTTTATATGGCAGTGGGTGAGACCTGATTTTTTTTTAAAAAGCCACGCTGTTTCCTGGGCTCCTTCTCTCAATACAGCTGCCCCAAGGACACCACTGACACCTGGTGGCCAGGGGTAGAATTGCAGGCCTAGTATCTGCAGCAGACCAGGCAGGGTCTTCCTATCTGCAGGCCTGGGCGAAGAGCTGTATCCCCAACTCCAATAATCCCACCTCCCCTAATTCCAAATCTCTCAGTGTGAGATTGCCCCCTACCACGGCCTTCTTTAACCCCCATCTCCCTTGCCCGGTTCCTCAAACCCAAAGCAATCACAGTTGTTTCCGCCCTTCAGAGACACTTTGCCTCTCAGTCTTGAAGCCACCATGCCAAAGGGACCTACATGCGGTCACAGCAGGAAACAGGAGACCAGCCGTGTCTGGGTGCGTGAGGAAGCCCCCCTGGGGAGGAGGCCCTTGAGGATGGGCAGGCATTAGCCAAGGAGACAGCAGGGGTCAGACACCAGAGGAAGAGCGGACAGGACTGGCTCTGCAAGAAGAGGACATAAGGTGTATTTGCGCCAGGGTGCGCTCTGTGCTTACTATTCTGTTTTATCCTCACAAACAACCTGGCCGGGGAGTTTTGTTGCTCACATTCTAAGGTACGGACGTCATGATTCAGGAAGGTCAACATACCTGCCCCAAGTGGTCAGACACGACCCAGGTGGGGACGAACTGGGTCGCCCAGGAAACTCAGTGAAGGTCCAGGGTGGCTTTCAGGCCCCTCATCGTCCACGGCGCGGAGGCCTGCCCCGTCCTCAGAGGCTCTGCCAGGGCGGATGAGGGCCTCCCCAGGGCAGCTGGCACCGGCTGGACTGTGCTTCCATAGGGGATGGCAGGGGGATGGCAGACACGGAGATTTACGACGGCCGTGGCCTTCATGACTTCATGGTCAGGAGTGGCGCCATTTCATCTCATCACTCAGTTTTGTCTAGCAATAGCTGCAGACCTGCACTCCAGGGTGGCTCCCGGTCGTGAGCAGGTGACCTGTGACTCTCCTAAATCATATTAATATGCAGGCCAGTGGTCCCGTGCTTCCTCCTTTCTTCCATCTGCAGCGTCTCCCGCCATCCGCCAGTCTCTTCCCTCCATAACGCAGAGGCACGCAGAGGCGGGGCCCCATCTGCCCACCCAGACAGCCAGGTAAACTGTCAAGGAGCAGCAGGTTGGCTTGGCCTCGCCCCCACCCTCCAAGAATTACCATAAACACCTTCCTTCCCTCTCTCCCCTTCCATCCATGTCTTCTTCCTTCTTCCCCTCCCCACGCTCGCAGCCGCATCTAGCGGTCTCCCCACATGTTTCAGGACCTCCCTGGTTTGGGGCTGCCTTGCTGAGCAGTTCCGATGAAGACATGACCCCTTCCTCCCAGGGGACTCAGTCCTTGAACAGGACCCTCCAGGAGACCTGTATGCAAGGGGGCTCCCTGTGCTCCCCTCAGCCCTCCTCCCAAGTGCAAGTGTGGGAACCCCCTCCACACCTGCCTCCATGTCCAGGGGCTTGCTTTAGGGTTCTGGGGGTCCAGGAAACGGATGGAGACAGAGCAAACATCCCATCCTGGGTGCAGGCTGGGTGCTCCAATGACAGGGTCTTGGGCACAGGCTGTAGGACCGGCTCAGCCGTGGCCACTAGCTGGTGATGGCGCTGGCCATGTCCTCACTGGTCCTTCCTACCATCCACTCACCACCCACCTCTTCCTGACTCTCAGAGGGGCCCCAGATCTGTCCTTAAACCCAGCACTGCCTTTGCTCCTCCTCCTCCCCGAGTTCTTTCCTGGGGTCCCACTCTACACCTCTGGGCCCTCCACAAAAAAAAAAAGCTCCTTCACTTTTCTTTCACAACAGAGCTGGACGGTCTGTTAAAAGCCAAATCCAAATGATTAGCAACAGACAGCTGCCCTTCCCTAACAGCTGGGAGGCTGGTCTTCAAACTCTCCCCAGGAGGGGAGAGGCAGTTGTACCTGCCCTGCTGGAGCTATGCTCCCCCCACACCCCCCACAGCTTCGACCCCCAGGGACAGCAGAAAGAAAAGGAAAGCAGGCCCGTGTCCATACCAAAACAGAGGACGGCTCCTGACAGCCCCCAGAGGGCCCACCACCTCGGAAGTATTATTAACGCACTAGCCGCCTTGTACCAACGCTGGTTATCATTTTACCTTTGTGAGGAGCCTTCTCAGACCCCGTCTCTTTCACAGCCAACGTGCAAGGTCGGCTTTAGAAATAACAGCCGCCATTAAAAAAACACCCGCCCTGTGCTGGGTGCTTTCCATATGGTCTCCTGTGTAATCCTCACACCGACCCTGAGAGGTAAGCACCATTATCCCTACTTCACAGTTAGGGCTCTGAGAGGTCAGCTTGCCCAGGGTCATGCAGCTAAAACTTACCAAGGAGGGGCTCGAGTCCAGGTGGGTCACGGCTCTGGTAGGATAGGTAGGTGCTCCCGGCTGATTTCTGGGGTGTTTGCGCAGAGGCGCAGAAGGGCTGTAGTGCTGGACTCTGCCAGCAGAGGGCTCACCGAGGCCTTGGAGCCTGGCACTTCGCGGACTTGCCTCGAAAGGAGGTCTTGTCTGCAGCGTCTGCAGCCCGGACCATCCCAGCCCAGCCGTGGCTCCTTTCTCGGAGGCTGCCCTGCTGCCACAACCTGTGGGCAGATGGGGGCCAAACCTCCAGGCCGCTGCAAATAAGCAGAGGTGCTTTTCCCGACCTGCGTGTCCGGTTCTAGAACCAGCCGGTCAGTGAACGCCTCTGTTTCTCAGTGCCTCCGTTTCCCCCTTGGCGAACCTACAGGGTTGGTTTGCGCAGACTCCTGGATCCCTGGAGGCAGTGGTGGGTGGGAGTAAGAGAGGCGTCGCCTCCGACACTCCAGAGAATCCAGCGGAAGGGGCGCAACCGCCCACTAGAAAGCTGCCCAAAGCAACCGAGGTGCTCAGAGTTGACCGCCCTGCAGACACTGGTCATTTCTGGGATCCACGACTAAGAAACGTCCCTGATGTCAACGTGAAAGACGTAATTAAATGCAAGTGCACGCAGCTGCTTTAATAAGTAAGAACGGCAAATCACAGAGCCGGTGAACTTGGAGGTTGGGGGTGGTCAGCAGAGGCGGGGGTCCCTTCCAGCTCTCCCAGTCCCGCCTGTCTTTCACCCCCACTTTCTTCTCTTTTCCCTGCAGAAAAATTGTCACGAGTCCCCTGAGCCTGGCTGCTCTGTGCCCTCCCCACTGCCAATGCCATCAAACCCGATGACCAGAAGCAGGGCTTTGCTCTGAGAGGGACAAAACGGAGCCGCAGGGTGAGGCCCCAGAGCTCCGGCCTCCTCTGGGGAAGGATCCGGGTGCCTGGGACGCAGCGGCAAGGACCCCCATGGCCAGGACTTTCACCAGCCTCCTCCAGCCAAGGAGGGGTTCCAGGTGCAAACTTTTCTCCAGTGCAGGGACAGACGCCCCAGGTGGGGAAGAGACCAGACACATGCACAGTGGTGGGCAGCTGGAGGCACTTCATCCTGGCCCGGGGCCCCAGGAACAGTTGCCACAGTGACCTTCTTGGGCAGAGGAAAGATTCAAATCCCCTGTCACCCCAGATGCGTTCTGGAGGATGGCTGCTCAGGGCTCAGAGCCTCCCTGGGAGCTACCGGGGCACCTTGCTCCCCACAGGGAAGCAGCAGCCACAGGATGGCTGTGACCTTTCACTTTGACCCTTTACTGCAGCCTGACCCCTCTGAGGCAGGAGTGAGGCACAAGGGGTGGGGGTCCCCGGCACCCCCCCCCCCCCCCCCGTCAGAGGAGCAAAGGTGTTTAAACAAGAGAAGTGAGGGCTGCAGAGAAGGTTAACAGCCCCTACAGGGCTTGACCCTGGTCGCACAGCCAGTGAGGGGCGGAGCCAGGCCTTGAACCTTCTTCTCCGAGTCCCCCAGTCACAAAAGAGAGGAGAGAAGGAGACCGTGAAAAAAGTGTCAGAGGCCATAGGGGCACCCGCTGGGGGCGACCCTGCCCCGGAAACCTGATCAGTGACAATTCTCAGGGCAGGCTGGACTGCTCTGTCCAAATACGGGTGCTCCCCGCACCCGAATGTGAAGCTCCCTCAGACCTGGAAGGTCTGTGGCTGCCTCTGCAAGGAACTTAAGGAGCCTCCGCTAACTCAGGGGCATCCCAGTGGCAAATCCTAGAGACCGCCTGAACCCAGAGCTGCTGAGGGGTGCAGAGGGCTGTTTACAGGACACAGGCCGCTCCAGGCTCCTGCAGAGTCCAGTCCTTCTGCCTCCTGCTGCCCCCACCCCCACCCCCAGCCTGCAGCAGCCCCCCCGCCCCCCAGGAAACTGCTCTCTCAGATTCCCAAATGGCCTCCTTCCGCTTCCCCCTCCAGTGCCCCTGTGCAAACATTGCCCCCCCCACACAACTTCGGCACCTTCTCGTGCCCTCTGGACTCCTCAGCGGGCGTTCCCCACTCTGCATTCTGGCTCTTAAGACCCTCCCAGCAGTAGCCCCCCTTGCTTTCCACCGCACCTGCCCTCCAGACAGCCTGCTTTGTTCCTTTCCCCTTCGGCCCAACGAGGACGCTCCCTTCGCATTCCTGCTTGGTTCTTTCCTGTCCCCCCTGACACACATGACCACCTCCTCACGCACCTCCCTCCCTCCCTGGGCCTCCTGAATCCTTCCCAGCCCCTCCCTCCCTGGGCCTCCCCAGGCCAGCCCTGCCCGGCCCTGAGACCTCTCCACTCTGATCAGCAGTCCAAGGCACCCATTCCCCACCCCCTTGGCCCAGTCGCCCTCTGCCTGGAGAGCCTGCTGGGCCACCCCAGGGAGCCCCTACAGGAGGTCCCCAGCCAGGGACCTCTTCTCTGATCTCCTAGGTGGGTGCTCAGTGCCTGTTTGTAGATTGATGAGAGACTCTTGCATTTATAATCCTTTCTCCGGGAGGTCAGCTCCCGAAGTACATGGAGGAGACTGGTTTTGAGAAGTTTCTTTTTATGCCTTTTGGAGGGACAAGCTTACTCGGAAACGTCTGTTGCAGGAGAGGCAGGCAGGCCTAGCTGCTCGTCATGGAGCGTGGGCCTCGGCCCTGGTCTGCTAGGCGACCGGCCTTCCACACCCCCCACTGCCCTCAGCCAGTCGCAGCAGGGGGCCGGAATCTCTACCTGGAGCTAACAGGTTTCCCGCCTTCCCCTCTCTGGACTTCGAAGTCTTTCTGGGCAGACACTGTGACCCATTCATCCCACTGTCCCCACATGCGTACACCAGAGTCACTGGTGGTGTTGTCACCAGGCTGCCCAAGGCTCACCCAAGTTCATCCGGTCGGTAAGTTACTGAGCTGGGGAACGGTGTCTCGCTCAATAATCACACATTAAATGAAGGATCGAGGCACTTTCTGTTCTTCCTGAAAGGGGGCATGTTTATTCTCAGGGTGACGCTTCTCACGCCCTGCCATCCTTTGCCCAGACTGTCCCCACTTCTGATGGCCCGCCCCCTGTCCTGCATGCAGCCATGCCAGGCTCACACCGTCAAGTGCCCAAAGACGAGTGCTGTGACCACTCCAGCCCCGAATGACCTTCCGGGCTGCAAATGCCTGTGGAGGCCACACTGTTCCGCACTCACACCTTGCGCTGTCTTCTATGTCTTGCTATTGTTCTATGGGAGTGCGTCTCCTCCCTGGAACCGGACTGTGTAAGAAACACAGAGAGGCACCAGGGTTTGTTGCTGCCAAGTTGAACACGCGGCCAAGTACTCAGGGTGGTGCCGAGACCACGGCGTGCTCTCCGTGGAAGACACCGAGGGCTGCCTTCACGCCCGTGTCGGAACAAGATGGGGTAACAACGTACACAGTCGCCTGCCCTGGGCTCCCCTCCTCCCACCCCGCTGCACTGTTGACCTCTCTCCACCCACGTCCTTCACCCCGTTCCAGCCTCCTCGCCATTCCTTGAGCTCTCCGAGCGCTTCTCCGCATCGGTGCACTTGCCCACGTTGCTGTGCTCCTGGCCTGTGCTGTTCTCCTGAATTTCTGCATGCTCCCTCCCTTCCCCACTCCCATCAGGGCTCTGCTCCTCCACCTCACTGGAGCGGCCACCGCTGCCCACGCTGCCTAAGACAACACAAGCCCCACCCACACCACCTCCCTCCCACTTGCTCCGCGTGTGTTTCATCCTGGCACTGAGCACGGGCACAGGTCCCTGCTTTCGTGTGTGTGTGTGTGTGTGTGTGTGTGTGTGTGTGTCTCTTACACCCTCCCTAGGAGCTCAGCTCCACGAGGGCAGGAACTTGGTCTGTTTCACTCACTCCAGTACTTCGGGCAGTAGGGACTCAATAAATATTTGTTGGCTATTGTTAACAGCAGAGGGTGGAGACCGCCCCCAGTCCACTGACTTTCCCATTATCTTCCATTTAACATCCAGAAAACGGAAGCTGAGGCAGATGTGAGCCTGGGGCTGTGTTGGGGGAGAGGGGTTCATAACCTGGACATAGCTCTCTCTCCGCCCTCCGTGTCTACATGCAGCTGTGAGGCTGTAGGGGTTAGGCTGCAGGGGTTAGGCCACAGGGATTTGGCACCCCACTCCTCCTCCCTGCTAGAGTCACAGGCCCGTCCACACATTCTGGAAGAGCAGAAGCTTAGGCCTGGGTTTAAGGCTGAATGTGCTGCAGTTCTGATGATAACCACCAGATGGCGACCCCGGGCCCGTATTCCCGTCCCTCCTAATGCTGAACTGTTTCCGTTTTCAACACTCGCACCAGTTTTCCTTATTCTTCCTCTCCCTGCAGGTGAAAGCTCCTCCACAGACTATCAGGCAGGACCCTTTGACCAGCACGTGAGATGCTTTGATGGTCCAAGACCTGGGGCATTCACTATTCGGATGCCCAAAGTGGGAGCGGTGATGTGGGGAAAGCCAACAGAGTGAATGCTGTTGCCTTTTGAAAACATAACCCCCCATGCAGCTCTCAAAACTAACCCAAGGCTGAAGGCATGCATCGGTGTGTGCATGTGTGTGTGTGTGTGTGCACACGTGCGTGCGAGAGCGAGAGGGAGACCAGAGAGCCGGGACGCCAGGGTTTCAGAGCTCACCTCTGTGTCCCTCTGTCTGTGGGTTTGGGCTGATAAAACTCGCGACACCTGGTGAGGGGGAGCATTCGCACATGCAGAGGGAGAGGGGTGTGGGGACGCGTCTGCCCTGATGTGCCCCCTGGCGTGTCTAGCTCAGTGCGTGCGTGGCTGGGAGTGCCTGCCCCCACTTCGGTCTTTCTGCCCGGATGACAGGGGCTCTGCCGTGACGGCGAGGACGTACACACAGCGGCGTCTGTCATGAACACGCAGGCGGGGCTGGTGTGCTGAGCTTCTCCTCGCTTTTGTACATAACGTGTGGCCCGCATGCGTGGGCTCTGTGTAGGGACGAGGCGTGCACACGTGGACACGCGCTTGTGTGTGGCGCCCTCGCGGTCTCCCTCTCCGGGGGCTCCGACGAGGCCGGCTCGCTCTCTGC